AGTGCAGACGCAGAACAGGAAAGTCCGAGCCGAAGCTCCTCCTGAGCTGGAGACGAGCCTCGCGGATCCAGTCGATCTGCACCGCAGTGACATCATCCTTGCTGCGCAAGGGGAAGACTGTGGTGTAACGCGAGTAGTCGTCAACCACCAACAAGAAGTAGCGCTCGTGACCCTGCCCACGGACGCGGGCCGGGCCCTACACGTCCATGTGAAGCGTCTGCAGAGGAGCCTTTGTCGGGGGAAACTGGGAGGAGTGAGGAGCAGCCCTGAGGCGCCCTTCGACACAGGGGACACAGGAAGGTCCTGGACCAGAAGGAAGGGGAGGGAGAGACCGGGGAAGACTTGAGACAAGGACACGGGAAGCCATGCCCCGAAGACGTGACAGGGGGGGGTGGCCAAGATGGTGGTGTTAGAGGAGAGTCTCGTGAGACAGGAGGCGACACGAACAAGGGGCAGACTCAGGGCCAGACCGGGACGCAGCAGCAAACACCTGACCAGGCGTTGCTACCTGACCAGACGGAGGGACAGGAGGAGACTCAGTGGTCAGGGTGTAGAGGCTCGACCCCGGCCGACGCGAGAACGTGGCCAGGTGCCGGCCTGTGCGTGCGTCCGTGCAGTGGGTCACCCGCTGACTCGCAGGAGTGAACTGGTGAACCCCCGCATCCTGTAGGTCCGCACCACTCACCAAGTTCGTCAAGAACGAGGGAAGGTACAGACCAGACAAGGTGCCCGAGGGGGTAGCCGGACACGGGAGGACAGTGGAAAGGTGAGAGAGGACAGGACCCCCAGAGGGGTCAGCCAGGGAGACCGCGACCGGCCGACCAAGCGGCGTGAGGGTGGTGCGGTCTCAAAAGAAGGAGCGAGAAGCCCCTGAGTCAAGTGTGAAAGTGAGGGAGGACGAAGGTGACGCAGTACCTGAGAGCGCAGTCTCACCAGTACCTAAGAGCGCAGACGCACCAGCACCTAGAGCAGCAGCCTCACAAGCACCTAGCGCAGCAGTACCAATGCCCAGGTCGGGCGGGAAACACCGGTAACAGTCACCCTCCTCACTAATAGTCACAGCATATATAGCAGCAAGAATAGCATCAAAGTCAAGATCAAAGATCGCTACACCAGCCCTAGAAAGCTCATCCGAGCGGGGAATCTCACTAGCCTCGGGGAACTGCTGACGCCAAGCATCCGTCAGGCGGCCAAAGCAGCGCTGGGTGGGGTGGGCACCCCCACACTGCTCACCAGTGCGGTCGCCGGAACGAAGGACGTAGGTGCACGGACCAGCACCCCCACCCCTCTGACGTCGAGTGTACCACTCACGAAGCTGCTGGGGCGGAGGGATGTCCCGCGAACGCTGCTGCTGCTGCTGCTGCTGGCGCTGACCACTACCAGCGCCGCTCCGCTGCGGGGCACCACCCCGACCAGCTCCACCTCCTCCGCCAGCACCTCCTCCTCTTCCGCCTCCACCACCGCCACCACTCCCACCGCTGCCGCCACCACCGCCGCCTCCTCCGCCGCTGCCACCACCACCACCGCCTCCGCCACCACTCCCGCCGCCACCCCCACTCCCTCCGCCGCCTCCACCGCCACCTCCACCGCCTCCTCCAGCTCCACCCGCACCGTTGCCCCCCTTGCCCTTGCCAGAGCGGCGTCTCCCACTAGGGGCAGACGCCGCGCCGACCGACTCAAGACCAAGCAGGTCGGCAGCAGCAGCAGAGGCAACAGAGGGCAGCAGGGGGGAAGGAGAGCACCCCTCAAAGATGGGGGTGCGAGGGTCACCACGAGAAACCCCTACAGCGACAATGCTCTTCTCCGCCGCTAAGAGGGCCTTCTCGAGGAGGTCGACAGTGAGGGTGGTGGGACAAACTGAGAGAAAGTGGTCCCTGACTACGCGAAGGGAGTCAGGGAGGCGTGCGGCTACGTAGTAGAGAGTGATGTACATGGGGGGGGGGGGGTTCCTGGCGCAAAACTCAGCAGGAAGGGCGGCGCGGTAGCGAGTGTCACTAGTGCGGAGGTGCGTAATGAGGTCAGCGACAGTGGGAAAGGCAGTGAGGTCAGGAAAGAGGTACGGTAGCATGAGGCGGCTCAGTGCAGGAGTGGCAGGGGAAGAGTAGCGCGCAACTACAGCGTCGTACAAGGTCTAAGAACTCTTGTACTGACTAAAGTGCGCGCGCTCAGTGGTGGGCAAGTGGCGACGCACAGCAAGACGTGCAGCAGCATCGCGGGTGGCCCACTGAGAGCGGACAGTGGGGTCAGCATCAGCAGCAGGAGCGGGAGAGGCGCCAGAGGTGAGGTCAAAAAGAGAAAGACCGTCTGCCCTATCGCACTGTAAAAACAACTGCAGGTCGTCGACCCAAACCTCAAAGTCAATGGCTCTGCCCTCAGCGTCAAAAGCCAGGACACTGGGGGTAGCCATGACGACGGACTAGCAGTGCAAGCAGTGGGGAAGGGGACGCAGTAGCAGTGGGGCGGTGCCGTGCTCACCAGACAGGACAGGTCGGGCGGTCCGGTGGAAGGGCGGCTCGGCGGCTCCTGGGCGGCTCAGCGACTCCTGGGCGGCTCGGCTGCGCCGGGGCGGCTCGGCTGCTGCTGGGCGGCTCGGCTGCTGCTGGGCGGCTCGGCTACTGCTGGGCGGCTCGATTGCTCCGGGGTGGCTTGGCTGCTGCTGGGCGGCTCGGCTGATGCTGGGCGGCTCGGCTGCGCCGGGGCAGCTCGGCTGCTGCTGGGCGGCTCGGCTGCTGCTGGGCGGCTCGACTGCTGCTGGGCCGCGTAGGTAGGGCGGCGGGTGGCCGCAGGTAGGGCGGCTGGTGGGCCGCTAAGGTAGGGCGGCCGGTGGCCGCAGGTAGGGCGGCTGGTGGGCCGCGAAGGTAGGGCGGCGGGTGGCCGCTGAGGTAGGGCGGCGGGCGGCCGTGACGAGACAGCGGGGCCGCGGCGAAGTGGGAGGGCCGCGACGGGGCGGCGAGGCCGCGACGGGGCGGGGCCGTGACAGGGCGAGGCCGTGACGGGGCGGCGGGGCCGCGACGGGGCGGGGCCGCGACGGGGCGGCTGGGCCGCGACGGGACGGGGCCGCGAAAGGGCGGGGCCGCGACGGGGTGGGGCCGCAACAGGGCGGGGCCGCGACGGGGCGTGGCCGCTAGAGGGCGAGGCCGCGACAGGAAGGGCGGGGCCGCGACGGGGCGGGGCCGCAACGGGGCGACTGGGCCGCGACGGGGCGGGGCCGCTAGAGGGCGGGGCCGCAACAGGGCGGGGCCGCGACGGGGCGGGGCCGCTAGAGGGCGGGGCCGCGACAGGGCGGGGCCGCGACGAGGCGGGGCCGTTAGAGGGCAGGGCCGCGACAGGAAGGGCGGGGCCGCTCGAAGGGTGGGCGGCGAGGCCGCTAGTAAGGGCGGCGGGGCCGCGTCTGAAGGGCGGCGGGGCCGCGAGAGGAAGGGCGACTCGGAGGGTCGCTAAAAAAAAGATCGCGCGCCTCGGGGCGCGCTTCGGTGGGCCCTAGGCGAAGTTCCCACAGGGAACCAGCTCTATACCATGTGAGAGTAAGGAACAGGAATGAGAATGACTAAGGAAAGATTGGTACAAATACAACCCTAGAAACCTGTACCCCATATGTGCTACCCCACTATAGCCTACAGTAACTATGTCATATAAATCTGACGGTTGTTAAACTGCTCCTCAATTTAGCTTGATCTGCCTCTGTAGAATAACTGTCTTCCACTGCACTGCTGCCAAATTCTCCTGCTGACTCCCCTCGTGAACATTCATGATCGCTCGTGTACAAATCATGAACACTCGTGTGGGTTAACCGTTTTCTTCAGTTACAAACGAACTTTATCGTTTTGTACCTCTGTTGAAATAATGACACAAAGCAGCGCGACTTTCTGGCGAATTTTCGTGCACGCCAAGTCAGCGCGAAATCCCGTTAGTCAACCGCAATCTCGAGTGCCCCACGTGCCCCTCATCACGACCGAGATATTTCTCGGTCGTGCAGGACAAAACAATCGCTGACGCGATCGTGCGTTGTCCTACACGTGACGAGGCGAGCATGTCGCTTCGTTTTGTAGCGATCTTGCGTACAGTACACGATCGAAACAGTGGCAACACACGCGCATGTTCTGTCAAGACACACTCGTATGTCAGGACCCCACGCGCGGGTCCTGACTTCGCGCACTTTTTTGTCGACCAGCGCGAAGTGGTCAATGAGCTGGTCAAACTATCGAGCCCCAAACACAAACACACTCGAAACTCACAACCAACCTTTATGAAAAAACTCGACATTCATGAAACATAAAGCATTCATGCAACACACAACTTTCGTGAACGCACATGTTCGTTGACGAAAACGAATGCACACAAAACACACACAAAATGTATAACGTCATGCAGGCGGCTGGTTGCTGTGCAAAAATAATATTTTGCACCCAACACATCGTGCATTCTTAGGGCGTGTTCCTACGGCCTCTTATGAGGCGAACCTCTTGTCAGATTCGCGTCGCACCGCACTGAATCGCGCATAATAACATTCGATCGCATTGAACCGCATTCGATTTTTATTAAATATTTTTGATATATATATATATATATATATATATATATATTTTTTTAACAGTGGTTGAACATGATTAAAAGTAACCTCAACAACGTAGGCTGATAATCAGGGTTTCTGAAAAGGCTACACTGCTAATCAGAGAAGTCGAAATCCAAATGTAATCCCCGTTCCATACCCGTCTGAGCTCCTAATCATGGCACACAAATGAACTTGGACCCTACACTCCCAACACACTTCTTCTCATTGTACACGTAATATTTTGAAATTGCTCCATTGGCAGCTCCACCATAAAAACTGTAAGCACCTGAGCATGTCAATGATGGTGACACTGGCTTTTGCCTGCCCTTCTTGCATATGCCAACGACGAACGACCAATACTCTGCCCTTAGGCAAATCTGAACGGCGACATTTACAAACACAAGAAATGAAAAAAAACATGTATTGAGAGAAAGAGATAGGCACACACTCAACGGGCAATCAAGGGCAAATAGTTGGAAAAAACACCACGCTGGCATATGAGAAATGACTCCTTGCCCCAACATCCATCAAGTATACGTTTAGTCCATCCACCAATCTTCCCTCCATTTCCCTCCCATCTCTTGCGCCCCCAACCCAGTTCACCTCCACCTCTCACCTGCACGCCAGTGTTGCTGCCAACAGCAGAGGCGGAGACCGGGATGACACTCGAGCAGATGAGGCCGGGATTGTTGCGGTACAGCTCAGCCCAGCGCACAGCGTTCACGTTCCCAGCCCCCGTTGGGTCGTCCTCACTCCCCGCCTCCAGCAGCAGGCGTTCACACGTGTCCTGTGCTGTAAGCACGCCGTAACGTAGGCACCGAGGCACAGTGAAGGCGAAGGTGGCGTTGCGCTCGACGCACAGAGAGCGGCCCGCCTTGATGGGCTCAGAGCAGTCAAGGCCGGGATTGAGTGCCGTGAGGTTGCTGGTGGTGAGGAACAGCTGAGCACTGATGGACCAGCATGTGTCGCCCTGGAGGGTTGAACAACGGGAGAGAAGGCACAGATGCCTGAGGTGAATGGAGCGCAGCTTTACTATGCGACAGTCTTGCGGAGCTAAGCAAAGCAGAGTGGGGAAACATAGAAAAATAATTCGACGAGATTCCATTCAACGAATAAAAACAAAAAGGGCTAACTCTCACACTGAGGGTGTAGAAGAACGCATTGCAGGGAACGAGGAGAGGATTTCCCAGCTGAAGCACCATGTTACGAGGCAAAGCCTGATTGCAGTCAATGCCCTGCAATGAGGAGCACACACGATTCTTTAGTCACCACTTCAGGGGATGGCACATCATTTGCATGACGAATCAGGAAGTAAATGGACACAGGAAGACAAAGCTATGAAGTGAAGGTGTAGCAATATTGCTTTTATGATTGTTTTCATTTCACACATTGACGATTTCATAAACTGTAGATAAGCAGCTATGGGACTTAGAATTTCATTGTGAGGAATCAACCACTAGCCGTGCCTGCCAATCCACTCTTCCAGGCCCCCCATCTCCATTGGTTACCTGATTTTGCTGTGTGAATTGGGGAAGTGAGAGGCCCACAATAGAGAGGACATCGGGGCACCACCAGTTGCTCCCACTCACGGCCAGGGTGCTGGCTGTGACGTTGGCTGGAAAGCGATGAATGTGAAAGCAGGAGAACACACGCATAAGAAAGTAATCAAGAAAACAAAACTACTAGCTGTGTGTGCATCACATGAATTGACAGTAGAAGAAGTGTGCAGGGGTTGTAATGACCCCAACATATGATTCAAGAAGAACTGAAAGAAGTAGCGACCCTCTTACAAACGATGCCAAGCCAGCAGCACCTGGGTCGCAGGTGGGGAAGCTATCAATGATTGTGCTTTCAACGTAGTTGGGGGGGCAGATGCAGGAGTAGGAGCCCTTGCCGTCGTTGATGCAAGCGCCCACGTAGCATGGGTTCTTCAAGTCAGACCCACACACATCCACTGCCAAGCGACATAAACACAATTGTGGAGCACAGTGGTGAGAGAGATACATATGTTGGGAGCAATGGGAAGAGTAGGGGGAAGGAGAGATAAAACTACGAAAAGATATAGACAGGGACTTGGTTGAAAGAATATCTGAAGATCAAACAAGCCCATTGTTCCAAAAACGGCCATTGTTCTGACAAGGGCCATGAATAAAAGTTATCATTTGAGAACTTGAACCAAACAACTTACAGTAAGCACACGTTTGAGAGCCATATCCGTTTGCAACTTGAACAAATGGCTGATTAGATTCGTTTGGAATGGAACAGTCACACGAATTGCTGTTGTTCCGTAAGTTAGCCCGGCATGTGAACCGCCCACACGGATTCATGCTGGGCTGCAGGTCACCATCACCCTTGAAGCTCCTCTGGCCGCAAGGGTCCTTGGGGACTGGAGGGGGGTACAGATAGGAGCAGGAGGTGTAGAAACAGGCGCGAGTGCAAACTCATTGAAAACGACCGTGGGCAGGAAAAGGCAAGCCTTAGGCAAATGGCAGGTGTGAAATCTGGAAACCGTGAGTTGGCGATTGGTGACTGGCTCACACTCTCTTCTCTCTGTTGACAATGCCTCCATTCCACTGTGTTCCATATACCAAATTTGAGGCCATCCCCTAGACTAAAGACTAATTACATAATTCTTCTGTGAATTTCACCCTGCCCCAAACACCCTGTGATGGACTGGAAGGGGGGGACTGAGATATGGAGAGAGCGATGGGGGAAGGTGCCCCATTTAAGACAATGAGGTAGATGCCTCACTCAACACCTCGAGGTAGATGCCTCACTCAACACCTCGAGGTAGATGCCTCACTCAACACCTCGAGGTAGATGCCTCACTCAACACCTCGAGGTAGATGCCCCACTCAACACCTCGAGGTAGATGCCTCACTCAACACCTCGAGGTAGATGCCCCACTCAACACCTCGAGATAAATGCCTCACTCTTGACAATGGGGTAGATGCCAGGCAGCACGTTGATGCCACACACGCCATCCCCTCCCTGAATGTCCATGCGCATGTAGCCCCGGTCACCCCACTCCACTCCCCACGAGTTGCGGATGATCCAAAATGGAGGCGCTATGCGATTTTGGCTGCCGTCATTTCTCAAGATGAAGTATCCGATAACGAGTACAACGTGGTTCAGTCTGCCGGTGTAGCAACCAGGATCCTGGTACTTGAAGGTCTGAAGAGAAAGGGGGCACCACAACAGTTATGGAGGGATGAAACAACAAACAACAAAGTACCACTTCAGGCATACAGCTTAATGCTGGTAACAGCTTGTGTACAACCCTGGGTTGGTTTTTGGCATACAGGTAATGCGAACAACAACTTCTGTACAACTCTTGACAACTTGTGCACAGAATGAAGGGTCAACAAAGGAAACACCCACCCCGTCATATTGTGCAAAACTCAGAGCAGAAGCCTCAATGTGAACCACCACTGGCTGTCGACGCACTGCCAGCATGAGCCCCACAAGCCCCTTGAACCTTGTGCGCTCAAAGCCATGAATAGGGTACTCCTTTTTCTGAAGATGAACATTTCATAGGGGATTTAATTACAGATAGGAAGGAAGAGAAAGAAACATAAAAGGAGGTCACAATGGAAAACAAAAGTTTGCTTGCGGAAAATGATGGCGGCCAATCATAGAAAGCAGCAGAATGTTGGGTGCATTACAAAATGATTAGAATATTCATTTTGTACTCTATACGTTGCCTTCTGAATGTTATGGAACTCTTAAGTCTGGCTCGGCCCCTTCCGGCTCGTGGCAAGCCGACCTTAGCTGACCGTTGATCATGCTTGGTAGAAGCTGTTTGCCTCTTGCTGCCATAACTCGGTCTCTTGGCCCCGATCCGGCCAATCTATCATTGCGTATCAGACTGCAGGGGCACTCGTATGCCGATGGAAAATTAGTTCAACTCGGTTATAAGTTGCAACCAATGCCAGTGGCTTCAACGACTCGGAGACAGTCCTAAGTTGGAATATACGCTTAACACCTTAAGCGTACAGCGTATGTATGCTAGCGTACACACGCTATACGCTATACGCTAGCGAATACGCTATACGCTCTTTTTAGGGCTGCCCGAAAAAAAAATCGCAAAAAAGATGCGGATTTCCTAGGTGAGCATTTCGCCGTAGTCGAAATTCAAATCCGCGGTCCAGGGAAACGGGGATCTGACGAAGTCGTCAGGCAAATGTTGAATTTCAGATCCCATCTAGGCATTGAAATCCATCCCTTCTACCGCATTGAACCCCACTTTATCTACAAACTCCAACCTGTCAAAATCAACCCCCCAACAAATCTCGCGGTACTTACCTGCAAGCCCTGTTGGCTAACCCTAACTCGTCATTTGGTTCCCGCTTTCACCAGAGTTCACTCACGCTACTTCGCTTTCTAGCTATTATGTCTACTCCACCTCCCATTGCATTCATCATTCGGATTCAGGATTATGCAAGGGCAAGCCTTAGTGAGAATAGGGAGTACTTTTATTTCACCCTGCCCGGAAAGTTTTTTCTCTGCCCGAAAAGGCGTATCTCCAAAAAGAACCCCTAAGCGGATAGCGTATGTACGTTAGCGTATATACGATACGCGAATATACGCTGTACGCGTATATTCCAACTTAGAGACAGTCCTCATATCACCAGTTGAAGTATAGTCGCAACTCTCTCAACGTCGGGCACACCACTTCAAATCTTTAGAATCACACTTCACCACACTACTCACAGGCGCTCCAACCTCTGTGACTCCACCGCGAGGCAGCATGAGAAGCCTTTCCAACGCCTCGGTGGGGGAGCCCCCCGTGCTGCACTTGTCAGCTTCGGAGGTGAGCCCCATGGCTGCAAAGAGTGACTCCACTGACAGCTGCGGTGCCTGTGCATTCAAGGCAATGCCGTATGCCGCTTCCACACTCGCCACCAGCGCAAACGCCCAACAAGCACTTGTGTATGATGAAAATTGGTTCGTGAAAAATTGAAGCTCATGCGATGACGGCTGAAAAATGATGAAGACTCATATTGCCCTGATTATTGTGCGATAGTTGAAACATGAAAGTGACCAGCAGCAGAACAGCAAACGAAAAGACGCAGATTGTAGCAACTAACCAAGACACCAGCCCAGCTATCAGCTCCAATATGCTTCTACAGGTTCCCATTGGTTTCACTCACTGCAGTCTCTTTGGTCCTTGACGGGCCAGCCGAGGAAGGGCACGGAGTCCCAGGAGTGGAAGTCGCTGATGACCCACGAGTCCTGCTTGCTGGGCGCAACACGGTAGTCCGCACTCACATAGCGCGGGAAGGGGCTGGCCCGTTCTGGCATGTATGTGTTCGTTGATAGCTGCAGGCCATAGGCTGTGATATGCTCAGAAGTTGAATTATAGAGAAAGGAATGAGATGTGAAAGTGACAAGTTGTTACAAGATAGAACTTGAAGGGGGATAATGAGTACAATGGTCTGGGGTGCATTGCCCTAATGTTGCTGAACTGCAACCCTTATCCAATAACATCTGCACCTCAAGTGGTCATTACAACATCCACCAAACAAGCACTCCGTTCAAGCGTGGTTCATGCATGTCTCTCATAAAAATTTCGCTTCCCTAATTCCGTAAACGAAGTTGCTCAGCTTCTCCATTTTCCAGTTTGCTTCAGATTTATGCGCACCGTGCTGTGCACCATCAACCACACTGTCTAGGTTATTCTTCCTTGTTTCACCCAATCTACTGAATGCATGAGTATTTAGTACAAGGAATCTCCAAAAGAAAAGAAAAACATGGTAAGACGGAGAGTGAAGGATACATGTCAAAAGATAAACAAACGCGAGGGGGAACGTCTGTACACATTATAAGATGATAATAACAATCACTCAGTCACAATGCATGCCTCTTTTGTCCGTCTAACAGAGGTAGTTGCGAGAGTCGCAACAGAAGCATGGGAGACGATGTCTCACCTGGATTACGTGTGAATGTTCGGGGAGAAGCAGGAAGGCCTGCACAAAGACAAAGCAATCAGAGCGAAGATAGAAGACACCATGTAAGATTCAGAAAATGTGTGACTCATATCAAATTGCAGTCACTTTCAAATTGACCTCCATCGGTAACCTCATCAGCGCCAGAGCTAACCTCATCTTCACCAGCACTACCCCCATCGTCACAATTCCTTACATCACCATCCACTCCCTCAGTCTCGTTGCCACCTCCTTTACATCCTCCGGACTGGACCTCCCATGTTGTTAACCACCATGCCAAGCCCATCCACCTGAAAGCACACACTGCTTACCTGTATCCACTGTCGATTCAAGAATGACGTGCCGCTGAAACGGCTTCACAGTGGTGGACGCCACGAAGCCAAAGAAGAAGGCGGGCTGATCAACTGCACCCTGCAGCACCTCACACAGCGCCAGCCTCCACTCCAGCACCGCTTGCTGCGGCTTCTCCTGCGAGTCAGCCAGGAAGACCTGGATGGTGCCGGGGTCTCCTGGCTCATAGTCCACCCACGCCGTGTACGCCTTCCTGTTGCTCAGACGGAAGGGTGACCTCACAGCGACTAGCGATCTGTCTTCGCCTCGAACGTTCAGCCCGACATGGTGGCTGCTCATGTCGCCATGCTCCTTGTTCCGCAGAGTGTCAAACTCCACCGCCATGCTCCGTGTGTCCATTCCACCATACCCCACCCCAGCGCCACTCCCCACCTGGTCCGTTGCCGAGATGACAAACGCTAAGCCGTTGAAGCCCACGTGGCCAGATCGAGGCAAGAGGGAGAAGGTAAAGTTGGCGTGAAAGGCGAGCTGCAGCCCACACCGCGACAGTCCCTGGTTTGCCTCGTACACAAACAACTTCACCGGCTCTGCGGTGAAGTTCCCCTTCGTCTCGCGCTGCCCCCCCCTGGTGAGTATAGATGCTGGTGGGAGAACCGCTTGACTGCTTGAGTAGTTTTTGTTCTGGCCTGCACAAACATACCAGACGGATGGACAGAAGTGGGATATGTGTAAGAACTTGAGCGAGACTTGATTGATTTAATAAAGGAGCTCAAGAATTCTAAGTACATTAGAAAATGGGTGGGAACAGATGGGCAGGGGATCGGGGGCAATTCCCAATAAGATCGACTGAAATCTTCAACTGGTGTTGGAGTTGAAGGTTTCAGTTGACCACATCACATTTGGGTTGGGTTGGGATATTGGTGTAACACCCAACCACAAAAACTACTACACTAAAGTAGGACATTAAAAGTGCAAGTAAAAGACGTGAGGTGGAAGTCTATCGCTAACAATATGGAGGTATGACAGGGTGATACCTAAGAATTCCGATCAACAAGCGACTGGAGTTCATGTGAGTTGGACGTCCCACCATTCTGTAAATCAGTATGTGGTCATGTTTCATAGATTTCAAGTGGTGTCCCCTACCTTGAGCAACAAAGGTGATCCCTCCAAATTGCACGAATCCCGCATCACACAGACATGTGGGTGCCAAGCTAGCCCCCTCTGGATAGCACACCCCATGTCCTCCACACGCAGCAGCAGCAGCAGCACCAGCAGCAGAGGAGACGCCACAGAATGCATTGCATGCTGCCTCCTGTCGCTGGGGCACCAAGGCACAGCCAAGCGGCAACGTGAAGCAGTTGGCATCAAAAGAGTGAGGCTGGCATGCCCCGTCGGGCAGAGGGCCCGAGAGGAAGTTGCTGGAGAGATATAGGGTTCGCGCAGCAAGGGGCTTCAGTGCGCGGCCTGTGAGGTAGTTGTGAGAGAGGTCTCTGCAGGAAGGAGGTGCAAGTGGCGGGAAAAGGATGGGTGGGGATCACCTCAATGCACCTGGATAGAAAAAAGTGGAGTGCAGGGAGCGAAGATGTGAGGGGTTGTTGAGAAGAATGGGTATACGGATGGGGGAGCAGAAGGGGATAGACACGGGCTGGCGGAGGAGAAGAATGAGGAGTCAACGAGAAGGGGAGCAGAAGGGGAAGGTGAGGTGGAAGAGAAGGATACAGAAGAGGGAGAGGAAGAAGAGGCATACGAGGATGGTTGGTTGATTGACACCAGGGAAGAGAGAAATCCGAGAAATGAGGAAGAGAGAAACGAGGAAGCAATCCGAGGGATGTGAAGATGGGTATACAGGGCACTAGCACAGCAACCACGGGCATTCATGTGGTTTTCTATTGACCGGTTTGACTCTTAAGTGGTACTGGGTAGTGTTCAATGTTATAGACCAGCACTCTAGGATGATGATGCACCAGTATGCGAAGTGGGATGCTGCTGGTGGGCTTTTTGAAGGAAAATGTTTCATGAAACTAGGGCAGTAAGAAGAACAGAGAGATCGTGGGGCTAACCAAAGTAAGGAGAATTCAACTGAGCACCACATTTGAAGTACAGCAACCCATCCATTCAAAACAATGGAAAAAGGGGGCACTCCACGAATGACTTCATTGCATGGACACACGTATGTATCAAAGTCACCCCCTTGTGTTGTTAGCTCGCGCTCATCATGAGAAAAGCTCTCCTGTGAGAGGAAATTGACAGCACTAGACAAGAGGGCAACTCACAGGTGAGAAACTTGGGTGAGTGTGCTGATGGTAGCAGGAATGCTGCCAGACAGTTGGTTTCTTGAAAAATCTCTGAGTGGAAAAAGAATGCCAAATTATAAACACCACTGAGGTTATAGTGAGGTGAAATGATAAAAGAACGCATGAGCACAAAAAATAACCACGGTTCGGTTCAGGGCGGTTCAATTCGTTTTTCACCCAAACTATACCGTTTTTCTTTTTTGCGGCCGTTTTTTTTTTCTTCAACAAATTGAACCAGTTCTTCTGTTCGGCCGGTTTGTTTTCAACAACTATCCGAGCCACGCCGAAGCTCCAGCTCCCTTATAGCCTAACATTGGTGTGTTTCCCACGGTTCTTTTTAGATAACAGCTCCTTTTTATGTTTCAGCCAGTGTAACGAATGTGAAATGTTCAAGGAGAGAAACTTGGAGGCCGTGGTTGTGAGAGCAGCAGTTCTATTGATTAGACTGTTAAGATACATTTGAGCAAGGAAGTTGGGAAAACCTAACCAACCCGACCCGTGGTTTAGGGCTGGTCGGGTCAGGGATTTCAGAAATGTGCCCCGCGCGGGTTGGCCTGACCCGACCCGAGCTAAAACCCGACCCAAGTACAGAACTTGGGCCGAGTCAGGACCGGGTTTTGGGCCAGGATTGACCCAACCCGATTTCAACTCTGTAGGGTTCGAAACCCTAGACAAATTTGATGACGAGGATTAAGAAGTCCCTCGAATCAGAACTTGGGCTGAGTCGGGACGGGTTTCGAGCCAGGATTGACCCGACCCGATATCGGGTCTTGGTCGGGGAATTCGGGCCGGGCCAACTCTGTAGGGTTCGAAACCCTACATAAATTTGATGTCGAGGATTGAACGGTCATCAGAACATGAGCACGCGCCACGCCTAGTAGCCAAACTTCAGCCACTAATGTTACCTAAGCTAAGTTAGTAGCTATTTTAAAGCTTACAGAACCATGTTTTCCGACATTTCTATTTACTATGAAGATGTTACTCTGCTATTAAAGGAGACCGCACTGGTGGGATAGTATACTCACGAGTTCACGTTTTACTAGTGCGATTTCACCTTCGAGGCTGCACGCGCCATGTCTTAAAACAACCACCGTTCATAAGTGGGCCCAGCACATAAACTAGTACCAATTCGTACTGATTGACGGGCGCCGCATGCACAGCACTTTTCACTACAGCTAATACACACCCGTACCCTGTAACAGGGCGGGTCAGCCTGGCCCGACCCGACCCGACCCGGGGTCGGGTTGTTAGCTCACGCTTAACATAAAGAAGAAGCTCCCCTGTGAGAGGAAACTGACAGCACTAGACTAGAGTAGAGAGTCACTAACAGGCAAAGAAGTTGGGCGAGTGTGCTGATGGCAGCAGGAATGCTGCCAGACAACTGGTTGCTTGAAACGGCTCTGAAATGAAGCCAGATTATAAAATACCACTGGGGTTATAGTGACGTTGTAGCATACAAGAGAAGACCAGACTGAAGCGAGGGAGGACAGCGATGAGGTTGGGTAAGACCATACAAAGGGTGATTAGCATATGAAGATGGTCGTCCTTTGGAGAAGACGAGACGAGGCAAATGCTAGAAGAATGTGAGGCAACACGAATATTGGAATTATGATATTACGACATCCACTTGCAGAAAATATATTGTGCGAATTCGATCACAAGAAAGAAGAGAAGATCTCAATGAAGGGAAAAGGAAGTGAACAATCGAAACAGGGAAGTGAAGGGATATAGGGGAGAACTGAGGGAGATAAAAGAGGTCGTGCTATACTGAAAAGGGGGGGAAAGAGTCCTGGGAGAGCACAGGAGATGTGAGAAGAACAACAAAAGCGTATCTTCTTACATAATTGTCAACTTGGTGAGGGCGCCAATGTCTGCCGGAATGGAGCCGTTGAGCTGGTTGGAGACCAGCGACCTGTCCCAATCAGGGTGTTCAATCAAGGCATGAGCAAAATCCGTGTCGTGTGCCTTAAGACTTGAAGGCTTGAAGAGCGCGGTTCTGAAACTCTCCACCCCCATCTGGTGCGCAAGTGGTTTTGGTTCGGTTATTGCTCATGCCTAGGAATGTGGGCGAAGCACCTACAATGGATCCTTACATGGCTACCAGCTTTGTCAGCAAGCCAATGCCAGCGGGGATGGAGCTGGTGAGCCGGTTGTTAGCCAGGGAGCTGTCCGAGACAGGGAGACGAGGGACACGGGGGAGGCGTGCAAGGGCGATGGACAAATTGGTGAGAAGGAAGGTGGGACGATGATTATTAGCATGAGACTGGACATGAGGAAGGATCAATCGGGTTGGCCCATTTTGAACCTCACCAGCCTGATGGCCAGGTGGGGTTCCAATCAGCCATGGGCGGTTCGTCACAGGGTTGCCCGAGTTTGGCCTGAACCACAAATGCTGTAAATAGGGATGAGCAAAGGGCGAACACGAACATGTTCGTCTTCGCCCCTTGTCGAACACCCTCTTTTGCCGAACCGAACACTGTTCGGTTCGGCGAACAGTTTAGGAAAAAACAGGTGTTCGCTCTTCGCCTGTGGAGGCGTGTTCGGGCGAACCTCGAACACTGTTCCTGTTCGTCACGGGCAAATTTCAGCAGCGGCTTGAACACGAACGTGTTCGGGCGAACATGGAACACTGTTCGGCGAACGATTTGAGCTAAAAAACAAAACCTGTTCGGTTCGCCTCGAACGTGTTCGAGGCGAACCGAACAGGTGTTCGCCACCTTGCTCATCCCTAGCTGTAAACGGACTTTCCAAGGCTTAACTGTTCTGTGAACGAATGTTTGAGCACATAAATGGAATAAAACGATGTGGTTCAAACACAGAGAATCACTGTCTTTGGAAAGCTGCCCACCTTGATTTGTGCCAGCCCTGCCCTGGCTCAGCCCTTGATCGTACCTAACTTGTGCTACTACAATAGCTTTTGTTGCACACTCTGCAAAGGTTTCTGACAAAGAAAAACAATACAATGGATTATTTACAGGAAAGTAAGAGCAGTGAGCTTTGTGATTGCAAAGGGCAAAGATCGTGAGAGCAAGTTGGAGTTGAGAGAGCTGTGGTGATGATGTGGCGGGTGGACGCACGGAAAGAAAATATGAGTTCATTGGCGTGTTTGCAGGACACGATAGGGAAGGGAATGGGGCCAGTGACGAGAAGGAAATGTAGAGGTCAAAAAGGTGACCAATTCGAGAGAGACGAGATAGTAGGGTGGGGGGGAGGGATCACACATTATCAAAGGCTTGCTACGACGGACGAGCCACGGGCCAAGTCAGCCCGGCCCGTCGAGTGGAGACTCCGGCTTGGCTTGTCAGCCCACCAGCTTTTCATGGCCCAAAAACCTAAGTGGCGAAATACGCTTTTGCCTTTAAGCGTTTAGCGTTTATCCGCTTGCGTACACACACAAAACGCTATACACTAACGAATACGCAATACGCTCGGGGGTTTTTTTCAGGGCAACCCAAAATCGAAAAAAAAAATAGTATATCTGAAAAGTTTCGTCTTCTCACGGCGAAGAAGATGCCGTGCTCGAAATGCACGTCGGAGATCTACCCTGGCCTGGACGTGGCTTCAATGTATGGAGGTGAGTTGGTTTCCGTGCTTTCAATTCGCGGCCCCGCGACTGTGAGTTGGGTTACGTGGCTCCAATGCTTGGAGTAGGGATGAGCAAAGGGCGAACACGAACATGTTCGTCTTCGCACCCTTGTCGAACACCTTCTTTTGCCGAACCGAACACTGTTCGGTTCGGCGACCAGTTTAGGAAAAAACAGGTGTTCGCTGTTCGCCTGTGGAGGCGTGTTCGGGCGAACCTTGAACACTGTTCGTGTTCGTCGCGGGCAAATTTCAGCAGCGGCCCGAACACGAACGTGTTCGGGCGAACATCGAACACTGTTCGGCGAACGATTTGAGCTAAAAAACAAAACCTGTTCGTTCGAGGCGAACCGAACAGGTGTTCGCCACCTTGCTCATCCCTAGCTTGGATTCGCGATGTCCTTGACATTCCACATTGGAGTTCCACCAATTTGTATCGCTCTCAACCTACAAACTCCCTCCAATTCAACTTCTCCCCACCACTCCATCCCACGCTACTTAACAATCAGGTATTGTTCTCTCTCGTCAATGCATCCTCCCATATACCTTCACAGACCTTTTTAGAATGTCTTCTGCAGATGTTAGACCGACCCCGTCCACTCCCCCTCCTAATTCCGGCACGGACAGTCCTGTTCAGTCCTAGTATGGGATGAGTAGTTGTCATTGTAATGTTGTTGGTGAAAAAAAAAAATTCGGGAAAAAAAACCGGGAAATCCAACCCCCATGGAAACTTACCCCAGTAGTATTGCAGGGGGGTCTTATTTTAGCTGCCCGATGTTTTTTTAACCTGCCCGAAATAGCGTATCTAGGGTCTCGGGACCTTTGCGTATAGCATATAAACGCGTGCGTATAGACGACACGCGTATATACGCAATACGCGTATTTTGCCACTTAGCCAAAAACGAGCCAGCTTAGCCCAGTCTTATGCTCGTGTGGCAGAAAGGAGCCTTACAGGGATGCCAGAGATAGTAGAGAGCCAATCTCCACAGGAATTGAACCCGTGAGCTGATTACTCCCGAGGGACCTGACATTGCGTACAAATGCAAGAAGGAAGAACCAGACCAGCACTCTAGGATGATGATGCACCAGTATGCGAAGTGGGATGCTGCTGGTGGGCTTTTTGAAGGAAAATGTTTCATGAAACTAGGGCAGTAAGAAGAACAGAGAGATTGTGGGGCTAACCAAAGTAAGGAGAATTCAACTGAGCACCACATTTGAAGTACAGCAACCCATCCATTCAAAACAATGGAAAAAGGGGGCACTCCACCAATGACTTCATTGCATGGACACACGTATGTATCAAAGTCACCCCCTTGTGTTCTTAGCTCGCGAGAAGAAACTGACAGCACTAGACAAGAGGGCAACTGACAGGCAAGAAACTTGGGTGAGTGTGCCGATGGTAGCAGGAATGCTGCCAGACAGTTGGTTGCTTGAAAAATCTCTGAGTGGAAAAAGAATGCCAAATTATAAACACCACTGAGGTTATAGTGAGGTGAAATGATTAAAGTACGCATGAGCACAAAAAATAACCGCGGTTCGGTTCAGGGCGGTTCGGTTCGTTTTTTACCCAAACCATACCGTTTTTCTTTTTTGCGGCCGTTTTTTTTTTTCAACAAATTGAACCAGTTCTTCTGTTCGGCCGGTTTGTTTTCAACAACTATCCGAGCCACGCCGAAGCTCCAGCTCCCTCATAGCCTAACATTGGTGTGTTTCCCAAGGTTCTTTTTAGATAGCAGCTCCTTTTTATGTTTCAGCCAGTGTAACGATAGTGAAATGTTCAAGGAGAGAAACTTGGAGGCCGTGGTTGTGAGAGCAGCAGTTCTATTGATTAGACTGTTAAGATACATTTGAGCAAGGAAGTTGGGAAAACCTAACCAACCCGACCCGTGGTTTAGGGCTGGTCGGGTCAGGGATTTCAGAAATGTGCCCCGCGCGGGTTGGCTCGACCCGGCCCGAGCTAAAACCCGACCCAAGTACAGAACTTGGGCCGAGTCAGGGCCGGGTTTTGGGCCAGGATTGACCCAACCCGATTTCAACTCTGTAGGGTTCGAAACCCTAGACAAATTTGATGACGAGGATTAAGAAGTCCCTCGACATCAGAACTTGGGCTGAGTCGGGACGGGTTTCGAGCCAGGATTGACCCGACCCGATATCGGGTCTTGGTCGGGGAATTCGGGCCGGGCCAACTCTGTAGGGTTCGAAACCCTACATAAATTTGATGTCGAGGATTGAACGGTCATCAGAACATGAGCACGCGCCACGCCAAGTAGCCAAACTTCAGCCACTAATGTCACCTAAGCTAAGTTAGTAGCTATTTTAAAGCCTACAGAACCATGTTTTCCGACATTTCTATTTACTATGAAGATGTTACTCTGC